ACAATATGAAAACGTTTGTTTTTTTTTCATAAATATTTTTGTGTTGTCTTTTGATAAGGAAATTGAATAATTGATTACATATTTTATTGAGAACTGACCATATTCCTTTAATATAGCTTCAATCTGGATCTTTTCTCGTGCTGACATAATATACTTGATAATTCAATAATTATTATTACTTTTTTGCGATTTGCTTTTACTGTGGAACTTTCATATCCAGATCTCAGAAGAATAGACGCGCAGAGTATATTTCAGGTAACGGCGAAACCATGCTCAACTCATTGTGGGTCTTCATAAGCGCAAATTGTCAAAGTTACTAACTACCTACCTATTTTTTTTTTATATTTTTAAGGCTATGTAACATAGCAATATTTTTGTTGTTAAAGTGGATAAGAATAACAAAAGAGACATATATATTAATTACCAAAAGAAATACGCCCATTATGTATATGGCCCATTATATATATATAGCCCATTATCATAACCAAATTATGTACATTTTAATATTGTAGTTAAAACCTACATGAATTATATTTTAGTTATATTTCAACGGTGTAAATAATGCTTTATTTTGCTTAAAGTTAATATTAAAATTAAGAGTAAATTCTTTGGTAAATACACAGGCGATAAACATATAAATATTATCAAATTATATAAATCAATTACTTTTAATTATACCATATTATTAGGCACCGTGATATTTATATGTTACTTGTTCCATAAGAATGATATAAAATAGAAAAATTTCAAGCATTAATTTATAATCGAATTACTAAATAACGACAATTGTAATATTGACTGTTAAATTCTATTAAAAAAAAAATAAGTGCAATTTTCGACGCATATTTAATTAATGAAAACCATCTTCATTATTGGTTCTTTCTTTTGTTTGCTGACACAACATAACACAGTTACGCTATGAATGTTGCAACATATATTTTTTTTTATCATACCAATAAACATATTGTAATATTACCTAATAATCAATAAATTATCTTTGATAGATACAATTGACTAGTAACAATTCAGTCAAAATTTTATAACGCATGTAATAGTTATAGTTGAACATTATTCCCGTAAATAGCCTAGAATGGCAATATAGCCGCGTTGAGATGGGGCAGTAAAAGGAAAATTAAAGAGTGAGATATTTGCTTAAACGACTAGCGCTCTTTTTTGTTGTAAACGAAAATTACAGTAAAAGATTTTAAAACAATGTCTTACATTAATTGGGAATTAAATCTGCCTATATCGCAAAAAATGACAGCTCGTAATAATGTTGCTAATAACATTCAATTTTGCACTAAATATACATTATAATACAAGTATATCGAATAAAAAAAAAGGAAAATATAAATATAATCCATTATATTTGCATTAAAATCTATTGGATTGTATGTATTAAAAGTTTGTATAATTGCTTACTTTTAATACATACTGAAAATAGATTTAATGCAAAAGTTCGTGCACGACATATACGCGAAATGAATTCATTTTTTTAAATAGATATTTAAAAAAACATTATAAACGGTTTTACGTAAATATAAATTAAATAATGTTGTATTAATGTATATTATATTTAGTTATTAGCTGCAGCTTTTAAAGAAGTATTTGGGAAACTCAAAAATATGTATTAAGTCTGGAGGGTTTAAAGATTAGTATTATGAATAAAAAAAAGTAATTTCCTTCCGCGGTTTAAGTGAGACATTATTCTTATTTTTATTACTATACTATAGTCTGAGTGATTTGAGCAAATATCTCTAAGTCTCATAGGTTAGATTTTCTTCCACCTGCTACATCTTAACACGCCACTCGACTTGAACACTACCTAATAATTAAAAAAATAATTTTGACTATAAAATTTAGATCCTATAAAGTGGAATACTTTACAATTTGTTATATTTAATATACAAGGAAGTGTCAGCTAAAGAGTTTTAAAGAGGTTTAAAAGAGTTATTTTTGAGATAAGAACATCACGAAATAAATCAAGTATTGAAAATGTTTCTTTTGCCAGTATCTTTTGATTACATAGTTACTCCGTCAGTGATTTTTTTTTATATCAGCGTAAGAGAAACCTACTTGAATCTAGCGAAGAAGTGAATGTATATTGTACCTAAGTAAATAAACATTTATCACTAATGCTACTTTATAAGAAAATCATAAAAAATATAATGTTGCCTTTATTTTTATTTTACTTGTAATAATTTCTTGATATTTTGAGCTTCTCTTAAGTTCTTATTCCGAATGACTAGTTACTCTAAGTGCAGATATGTTTAGTTAATGAAGGGCTAATAATCTTACGTTCACAAGATGTCGCTAGTTGGAACTGAGGTGAAGTTTTTGTTACACTATTTTATATTGAGAAGTTGCGTTTTAAATAAAAGTTTATCGGTTTCTAGAGTATGTAAATATACCAAATAATTCCTCAATGGTTTGATCTATATCGTTTTGCACATTTTGAAAACTTTTCTACTTTAAAAAAAAATGTATTTTGGTTTATTAATTTCTAATGTAATAATTATTATATAATACAATAACATTAAAGAAAGAAACATTAACACAGTCCATCTGATGGTAAGTGGTTGCTGTGAACCATAGACATCTACATCTATCCTCAATAAAGAATCAAGATGCAGATGCGTTGTCACCCGTGAGGACTAAGACAGAATGCCTCTTTTCCAGTAAAAAGGGTATCCGGTTCTCTACACTCACCATACGAAACAGCACTGTTAAGCTGCTATTTTAAGCTGGTATTTTGTGAGAGCGTGGTCCTTCCTCGGTCGAGTCGAGCCGACCCATTCGTGCTACAACTATATACTACTAATATAGCTGCAGCATGGCACTACCTGTCAAATATTTCACCTCGTTCCTAAGTGGCGGCACCCTAGCGGCAGAAGAAGTCATGGATGCCATCACGTGAGAATTTTAGTATTTTTATATTGGTATCAACGTGAAGTATACGTGAATAGGATGTAAGCGATTGGCTCTACGTTGAACAGTTTCCTTAATTATTTAATGTTTATGTATTTCAATTAAGAATTATATTTATCATCTACTTTCATTATACTCACCGCTATTATTCAAATGAACTTAATATTCTGTGGAAGCCTTTTCCTCTTTTTTTTTGCAAAGAGAAACCGTGCTAAAGCTTTTAATTTCTTTTCTTCCAGGTTTTTAGCATCGATTATATTTAAAAAAAAACTTCCAGTTTCATACTAATATAGAAATCTAAATTAACATCAATTCCTAATCTAATTACTGTTTTAATGTCCTTTCGTACTTGTTTTGTGTGATTTAATATAAGAAACTTCAAGAAAAAGAGCAGCTATGTTATATTAGTAGTTCGTACTACTTATATATAAATATATATGTCTTAGTTAGAACAAGATAGCGTATATTGGCAATATCCCTTGACTTGTTCATGAATATCCTTTAATTTTGTAAGCTCCTACTGACTAATAAATCCTTAAAATAAACTATCAACTCACAATAAATTATAGTTTCAAAGGACTGAGTAAAAAAATAAATATAAGCATAATTACTCTGGACTGGTATGCAAAATTCTTATATATTAAATCATTGTTCGCTCTTTGGCGATACGGTTTTGAACGCAACACGTCGGTCGGATTTTTTGGATTTGTCTTACATTTATTGGTCGATGTAAAAAACCAACGAACCAACGATAGACTTTCTATAACACAGTAGGACTGTATGAGGACATTGCTACGAGGTCATGTTTATTGAATAGATATATGAAACGTTGTTGGCAAGTGGACGAGCAGTCATTGATAGTAATTAGACTTGCAAAAAAAAAAACCAAATTTTCTGCGGGCTTCCAGGCCGAATAGACGAATATTCGGCCGGCGCGTGGCGGGAATATTTGTATTCAGCATAATTGTTTCTCGCTCTTTTATCGTACTGCCCTCTTCTATGACTACTTTAATTATTACAAGAAAAATAAATTATTATAAAATAAACCAAAATTTTCATTTTACTAATTATCTGACTATGGCGTGATCGCGGAGCAAGAAGAATTTCAAATTATTGCAATCCATACAAATGTGAACTTTAATAACTTGACAATAAACTCGGTTTTTCGAATCACAAATACTGTTCAAAGGGTCCTAAAACTAGATAGTTTTATTTCTATTGCAACTAAGATTAGTTGCAATAGAAATAAAACTTTTTATGATGGGAATTAAGTTTAAAAATGCAAAGCAATAAAAAAAAATCCTGCTTCGCGACCGTGGTTTACAACAAAACATCTTACTGAAGTAGATATAAATAGTATTCGGTCAAATAGCACCTACTACCTAGATGTTCGGTATTTAACCGAATATGATAAAAGTAGCCGAATAGGGCGAATACCGAACAATAGCCGAATATTCGTTGCAAGTCTAATAATAACAATAATTGCCTGTACATATGTTTGTTACTAGATATTTACGTCAGTTAATTTATAATTTATCATAAACATATTTACCGACTGTACTGTGTTTTCGATTTTTTAATCAACCACAAATATTTACAACAAGAGCAAGAGGGGTTATCCAAGAATGTTATTTAGTAAATAACATTCTTGGAAATCTTCATCTTCTAAATATTATTGTGCTGTAATGAAATGGCAATAAACCTACCTGTATGAACATGTATGTAATAAATATTAAGATAAAATTTTTAACGGGGTTTTACTCGAAATTTATGGTGTAAATATTAAGCACATCTATTTTTGCTTCCAAAAAATACTATGTTAAATCTTTACCTAACCAACTCCATGCTATTTTTGCCGCTCAAAATACTAAATGCTGTTTCAAAATAGTGAGCAACCCCGCCATAAAATCCACGTGGCGCGGTTGTTTCGTAACGACTACTAAATTTTAATAATATCATGTGGCGCAATATTAGCATATTAAAACGTGTGCGTTACTTAGAACTACCTAGCCTCATTCATAGCACTGCAAATCATCAAACACTAGAAAGCTGTAGAGATGTAATCGTGCGAGTTAGTGCGGCCGACTGCCCAGTCCGCTGCGCTGTGGGCTGCCGGGCACGGATGGCGACAGACTGATAGGATTCAACTTGTCCACCGGACTTTTTCTCAAGTAATCCGATATGTGCTGCACGATCAAGTCAATGGCCACTGAAAAAAAAAGCATATTTGTATTTAAAAAGTTAAGTAACAGACTACATAATAATAATCTAAAATTTATTCAAATTATTCACTGTCTAATAATCTCATACAATACACACTGTGAGTTCAAATGAAGATTGGCGCTGTCATCAATAGCAGAAAGGATGTTCAAGGAGAGTTTACCCATATAACTGTTAAACAAGGTTTTTCCCTGGATAATGACACTACAGCAAATATTTTGTTATACAATTTTTATCTACCACTGTCATGTTCCTATATTTTTTCCTATTTTAATTATTTAAAAAAAAAGGAAGGAACCTTCTAAAATTATCTAGTTATACCGATGAGTTATACCAGAAATCAAGCAAGCAAAGTTAACAAACATAAAAAAAAGAACAAAAGAAAAACATACAGACACAGTCACATTCTTTCTTATATGTAGTTTGTGAATGAAAAATAAATATCGGTCCAGTTTTGTAGGATGAAACAAGATAATGTGAGATAATGATTTCGTCAACTTTTCTGATCGATCACTAATAAAATACTAGATACACAATTCCATGCAAAAGTTCTCTAAAAACTGTCGCCAATTGTTTTGACGTAGTTCTAGTTGAAATAACATTAATGTAAATTCAACCTTAAATGCATTGCCTAAAGTTATATTCACAAAGCTACGTACAAATTAAAAGCGCACCAAAATGTTCGAGTGGATGCTCATTCCGTAAGGACATTTTTTGTCACTGATTGTGTATCTAGTTTTTTATTAGTGATTGATGACTTTTCTTTGATATATTCAGCCCGAGCTGCAGTTGTCTCTCTCATACACAGGACACAGTGCGGCCATAGGACTCCTTTTCAATAAGCAATAATTGCAGTATTCTGTCGAATTTTGAAATGACGTGATTTATTTAAGACTGATTTTTCAATCATTAGATTAAATGGAAAAGTATATAACGAGGCGATATTGCGAATGCGAATGGCTAAGTTGTGTGTGCCGGACAGGTACGTGTGGCGCCGGAAGCGGCCGTCGCTGTTTGCGGTACCGCGCGCACACACCAACCTTCTAAAGGAGGCCCCACTGATCCGAGTGCTGCACACTCTAAATAAAGTAGCTCAGGGTGTAGATTTATTCTGCTGTTCCTTGGGTGAATTCACAAAAGTGACATTATATGTATTGTGTTATAATAGTAGATAAGTTGTGTTCTGTCCTTATTAAATTAGATAGTTTTATGTGCCTACCATTGAGTTATATATACTACGTACTAGAAAAACCATTCCAAACATAGACTATGTTCAACTAAACTGTAGTGCAATCCATACAAACTAAATATTGCGTAAATTGAAGATTTGTGAATTCCATAAAATAATTATTATTACATTTTATTTAGAAATATAATATGTTTGTTTAGATTAAATTAAGATATTTTATATTAAATTCTTATATTTATTTTATATTAATATCTTATTTTATATGAAATTAAAGTCTTCGCGCATGCGCGACTACTACTCCTGCGCATGCGCAAAGACATAGAGTAGGACACAATTTTTGTTTGGAATGGCTTCTCTAGATCTCTAGTACGTAGTACATATAACTCAATGGTGCCTACATTGTCGTATTAGGTACGCCTGTAAAGATAGAGGTAGAAATAAATAAATAAAAATTGAAATATATATGTACATAATCACCAGATAAACCTATTTTTGTAATCAATAAAATACATGAAATAGGTAAACGCTTTAATTTAAAAAATTTATATATTTTTGGTATTTCAACATATTTTTTTAATAAAACTGAAGTGACAGATGATGCGTTATCACCCCTGAAGAGTATGGTCGAATGCCTTATGGATGATAATAAACCCTGCGAATGAGGTGGATCGCTACCAAGCTATTTCTAATTTATTGCATTGTTAATTGTATCACATACATGATTGTAAGCTGTTATTAAAAAAAAAAAAAGACTCGCTGTTTCGTTTCTTGCTGGTTCTTTCCCAGGACAGAGGTTTTTTTTCGAACCAGTGGTAATTAAACAAAAGAGTGACTTTCAATAAGTATTATTTATAACCTATATTGATTAAAAAAGTTTCTGTTTCCTGAGATCCTGTAATTGTACTCTATGTACCCTTTAGACCGGAACACCGTAATGCAAGCACTGACATTTGGCAGAAGAAATATGCGAGAAGGCGACAGGCTGAATTATTTGATAAGATAACCTTTTTTTAGCACTTTATATTTATCTCTTTGATATGGTAAAGTATGTTAAATACGTAGTTAATTAAATGCTCTTTTGGATTATAAGAATAAATTAAAACAATAAATATCCGTTTATTTCAATTGTTTATTTTATTATGTTTTAACATTTATCCATTATAAGTCGCCCGGGTCGTTTACATCAATAGTTATAATGGCTTAGGTATATGTAATTATATAAAGAGATTAATCATATAGTATTCAAAATAATAAAAAGAACATTACAATTGTCTATGGTCAGTCGTTGTTGCTTTAATATCCACAAAGTGCACAAATACATTTGTTACTTTAAAAAAAAAACGTCAAATAGATTAATTAACTGAAAATACTAATTAAAATATGACAAGTCAATTTTTCCATTGTGCGGCTTTTAACAATGATTCTCCACAATATCATAAGCAACTGTTTGAAACAATTAACTGTTATAAAAAATACACATATATACGTCCATTATTCGATCTAATATGACAATAAAATGCTTATTAATTAAATGTATAAGATACAATCAGTTCCGGATTTAAGAGACTAAGGCCTTGGGGTATTGAGAGGCTTTCGAAATCGTAGGCTTTGAGTATTCACGTATTTCAATATAAATATTTTTTTCGTACAAGCATAGTAATATGAAGATAGTGTTAACACAGAATAGCGGTTTTGTCGCCTATTATACTTTTAATACATACTATATTTAGCAAAAAATCTTGGAGGCCCCTCTCTTTAAGGTGAAAGCGCCAAGGTGGCCCGCGAAGTTCAAAGAAAATCGCGAACGGTCAGGGTCAGGTTGTATATTTAACAAAATATGATTCGCGACCGTAACGAGTAGGTGTTTACACAATTATTAGTATTTAAAATCACCAATACAACCCTCTAAGTTCATATTATCCCTTTGAATGAATTTTTCTGGAAATAGTCATACAATAGGGTTATTTTGCGCGGGCTACACTGGCGCTTTCACCTTAAGGTATTTCCACCCTTGAGAGGGGATCGACCCTCTCCTAAATAAGGCCCTGTATAGAACAGAAATAAAACACTAACAAAATCAGGTTGCACACGAACCAAAATTCGCGCAAATTAGATTTGAATTTAAGAATTGTAAATCAAGTTCAAAACCAAAAACAAATACCTATCTAAGAATAATTCATTATCATTATTCTACGCGCTGTAATTTTTCAAATTTTCTCGATATAATAAAGCCACAAATAACCTCTGTTTTCCTTCTTAAGCTGAACGCACATATGTCCGCGCCGTACGCGCCGAATTTTCCTGATGGCCTCGCACATTAGCACGCACGCACCGCCCGCGCCGTACGTAAATATTTTGGATTGCCAACAACTCTTGCAGTTTTTTCCAACCACTGGTGTGAAACGGTACATTAGATAGATTAGATTGAAAACATTTATCGCTCGGAATCACTATGGAAAAAAATATTGTAATAGCCTGTTTATTGGCAGAGGAAGAAGAAAACAAAATTAGAAGAAAAAGATTCTGGATTCATAATATTAATTTAAAAAGGCAATTGTATGGAGAGTATCATACTTTATTTAAAGACTTGTTATATGATGATGAACGATTTTTTAGTAATAGCTGTGAATGGACTGTAGGTGGCGAATTGATCATGATTTTGGATTTAAAATGATTAATTACTCACCAGTCTCATTCATTCGTTCCCCAATCTCTTCCCATATGTTGTCCCGCCTTTGCTGATTCATATAGTGGGGATGTTGCAAATTATACAACTCCTCATATTGTTGTACAAACAATATTAATGCTATTTCGTCCATTGGTTCGTGGGTATATGATTAGTAACTACGTGCGCGTCGCTTAGCTCTGCGGGCGCGAATGACAGACAGGCACGAGGCACCAGCCAGTGCTGCCATTAAACTAGTTCTCCGCAAGATTAAACTTTTAAAACCACCAACACAAAGCGACCATACTCTCATAATACCTATTTAGGGATTATGAGAGTATGGTTTAGTGAAATATTTATTTCACTAAACATTTTTTTATTAAGGAAGAAAACAATAAGTATATTAATAATTGGTTACCTTTATTATTTCATACATTTGTGACATTCCTTGGAGGAGGCATATGTTCAGCAGTGGACTTGTGAAGGGCTGTACTGATGATGATGATTATCATTATTATTATTATTACATACTGTGTACCAAATATTAAATGTCTATGTTAATAGCCAATAAATCAAAATACATTAGGAAATTAACGAGTCAACATCAAGAATATATTATTTAATTAACTGCTATTTTAAATTAAATCGTTTTCTTCAGATTAATTATTTTTGTCGACACCATCGTCGTCGGTTTTAGATTGATATAATTTATTTGTACCAATTTGTTTCACAACGTTTATCGGAATTTCAATTTCTTTCTCTAACCGCAGTGTACACTTAACACTTAAAAAATATAATTCGAAACAAAAGTCGAAACCACCAGTTTTAGTGGAAAATCCACGAAGTTGGCAACATTACACAACACTGAGTATCCACACGCGCCAAACGCGCCGCGTTATATGACGTCATCAGCATTCGTCCTTCGATATCGTATACCTACCGCATTTTATAAAATTCGGCGCGTACGGTGCGGGTGTAGTGTGCGAGGTTTCATATGATTTCATACAACGAATTCTAAAATTCGGCGCGTACGGCGCGTACGGCGCGGACATATGTGCGTTCAGCTTTAAAAGGGTACGTATTTTAGGGACAAAAATTCGATATTTACAAACAATAATAACTGATTACTAAGAAT